GGGCTGCCGTCACCTGTCAGAGAGCTTGGCGCAGGCGCATGTCGGTGTACTGGACATAACACGCACGACGACAATCGTCCTGCTGGGCTGCTGAGAGATGCCCCTGCCTCCGCACCCACCCACCCACCCACCTCACCCCATCCCGCATTCCTCCCCTTCCCGCAGCTTACTTGCCGCATATGTAAATAGACGCATACATACACATCCATGAGCGAAGGAAGAGGGTTTACACCAAAAAAGTTGTCTGCCAAACACCTGAAAGAGGAGGAAGTGGCAAAAAACGCTTCTGACGGGGCGAATTCCGGACGCTTGTGACGCCCATTGCCCCGCCCACAAATTTCGGGGGCCACTTTCTCTTTGCTCCGTCGCATTACCATAAATGATTACACCTTATTTTTCTTAGCCCTCACTCACTCACTTTCTCTCTCACACACGAGTACACAAATGCATACATACAAAGTTGGCAAATGGATTTGGACAACACTTTTTCGTCTTTTACGTTTTTTTTTCTTTGTGCCTCCGTCCAGCCGCAGCTTCATTCCGGCTGCGCGACAAGGCGTATGCATGCAGGGGAGGAAAGGCGAGGGCGTGCACGCACCCTGAGCCCTGGCTGCAATCGTGTGGTGGGGACTGCCGACAGTTTGAACTGCCTGCTCGCACATTATATATTCATATATATATATATATATATATATATATATTCACCACCACCTTTTATGTTCGCTCAGCTTTGGCCGAGGGGCGCCCACACAAACTCGTCATCATCCGTCAAAATTAATACAACAAGATCAAGAAGAGAATAAATATAAACAATTAACAAATATATATATATATATATAAAAACAAAAACCGTCCACTTCCGTCCATACTATCTGCACTATGAATGCAGGCATTTAAACTCAAACGTGTCCCTACGGATGTCAATTTTTCTTTCCTTTCTATGTTGCCAGTGTTTCTTTTCATTTTCCTTCCCCCCTCGTTTTTCTAAGGGCGGGGGTATTTAGCGGCTACATATCTTTCTTATTGGCTGCACTTATATTTCCTTGCCGTCCAGCTCCACACGCACACTTGCACCGCCCCACGGCGGTCAAACAAATAACAATCGTGTATATATCCCTACTTGTATAACACAGTGATGACCCTAGCCGCCACTGCCATCGTGGTGGAA